ATGTAAGATATGACGAAATAAATGTAAACGAGCGTCCTCCAGTAGAGATGGACCTTTCACAAGGCGCTCGTATAGAATTAGAACATAGAATATCTGGAAGAGAAAAAAGTTTACTTATAAAATATAGTGTCGGGTAAATTTCCCATTGCGAACCTTTTCGGGATCCGAACAGATCTTATCTTTTGCTTAAGTACGAACGTGGAGACAATCAGGATGGACAAAAAGGGGAGAACAGAGATCGATGTAATCTCCGATCTTCAAGGACACGAGGCACTCGGCAAAACGAACACTGCGAGCCAACACAAAAGAGTGAAAACCGGAAGGCTGTGTCAATACACTGGGGACGAATCTTACTTAGTGTAAATGTAATTTTATGCTAAAATAAATGGATTTTTTGTAAGATACTTGTCATCTCTGTCTCCTCCTCCACACCGACAGACGAACGACCCTAGATCATCCTGATGCAGGATTTGCGATCCTCTAAAAGTCGGAAAACTTACACTGGTGCGAGAAGTGGGATTTTAAGTCCCCAATCTCCGTCAGCTCAGCAAACTCACATTAAGGGTTACTAAGAAATTAGGTCTAATCATCTCATCCTAAAGCTAAATAAATGAGGGCCACTATATATTAAAGTAATTAATTTCTATACAAGGAATAAATGGAATGCACGCTTTGGGGATAGACTAGGAGTAATTGTATAGACTGTTGATGCTTAAGTAAAATGCTTTTTTTATTTTAACTAATATATTTCTTTGCACGTTGTTTTATTATTTTACTGATCAGATTTTATTCAATAATTTGTATTATCATAGAGTCTATGACACAGAGAAAAATTTCAATCAAACTTCCAAAATATAATTATTCCATAAATTGTATATTTTCTTATAAATTACAGTTTAAAAATATGAGTTGGTAACTTCATCCGCCGAATTTTAAAACTGTAAGAGGCACCAACTGTTTCGATATTTTTAAATCGAAACAACTTTTAATAAAAATTATTATTATAAATTGGCAAAAAGCTGAATTTTGAGGATAAGTAGGAATTTTTTTTTTAAATCGTATATGCTACTGAGGTGTTGAACCTTCATTAAGTCACACATTCTCGAGACGTGACTACATTCATCTTCTATCCCTTAGATCTATAACCATTAAAAGTTAACACGAACGATGTTAATTAATAACTTATACAAACCTCTTTATAAAGTAGTAAGATTAATTCTTTTTAAACAAGAATACAAACTGAAAGACATAGGAATTCCTATGCTTCCTAATGAGTGAACGAATTTGTGCAACACACAATCACATACATCCATATCGAAATCCAAAATACGAAATAATTGCGACTTCGAACTATCTGAGTTCGAATTAACGAGGATTTCTTGTATACGGAAATCCTGTTATTTCTTTGTCCATATTTTTACGCTTCAAGGTTCCTTGTGTCGAAAAATGTGAAAATATTAATTCAGGCTCATTTTGGGACAAATCGCAGTGCTTTTCCTCTTTATTTATAACAGCCCGGAGGGTAAAAAACTAGATTACACTCCTACCATTTTTCAAAACATAAAGAAGCATTTAAATCATATAATATTGTCTCAATCCAAATTGAAAAATAATAATTTTTTTAGAACTAAACAAACGATTAAGAGACAAACTGATAAAATGTTACACAATAATTTCGAATAAATTTTTGCTGATACTTTTCGCGTTGTCACTCACTCGAAACTAGCATCATTTAGAGTAAAATCTCGCGATAAAATACAACCGGTCTAAAACCGAACCTGCGTAAAACGGAAAAATTCTTCGAGACTTTCTGTTTTAAAATGAACCCGTTTAAACAGTAAACCTGCCAAATCGGAAAAAATATTCGAACCGTGAGATTTCGGTATACACGGATTTTACTGCAACATTCAGAAGTAAGAATTCAGGTGAGTTATTATGTCATTCATTAAGACATTTTAACATGATTTTTTTCTACATATACTTTACTATATTTACTTTACTAAAAACTGCTATGGATTATTGAAGTACATTTAATTATTGTGTGAGAGCTCGGGCTGGATACANAATTTATACAGCATTTTACATATATCTTGATCAAAATAATACCGTAAAGAAAGTAGCCCGTATCTGAATGGGAAGTGCAATCAGGACCGACTAAGGTCGGAAATATCGAATGTTTATAATATAAAAAGTACTTCACCGATTTGTAAAATATTATCACTTACAGGATCCTTATGAGTTACTAAATACAAAGATATTTAAAATCCACGATACAGCAAAAAATAACCGAATTATAATGATCGAAACACAGAACCAAAAATACTATCACATACACAGATCGCAACTCCTACCGGACTCCGTTAAATTAATGTAATTGGCGCACCGAGTTGGTCGCCAATTGTGTGAACTACGAACATTGTAAACTTCACTGTGGCCTTACTCTCACCAAGCAACAACCCGCCAAACTACTTGGTCAACAACCTCATCACAAGTCGCAAGGCACCCTGCTCTTAAATTTTATTGTGATGTGTTGTTCTATATGGATCTACAATGTGATCTCTGTATATATAACTGTCCATCAGCCAAAATGGCACTTTGTAGTGTATATTTGTGTCACGATTATTTTTATTCATTGTGATGCGGGTCAATTATGAGATCCTACCCTTCCTCTTCCTTCCAAGCATTCAACTTTCATTTTTTACTCCCTCCCTCTCCTCTTCCACTACACACCCTTTTTTTTATTTTCCGATATGGGCTAAGTTTCACAACAGTCCTATAAACTAAACTTAACTAAAGTCGGAAGCTTCACAAGTAAAATGCCTTCATTAAGCAAGTATTTATGACATTTATAAATAATATAATATAGCTTTTAAATTATTATGTACACAGAAATGATATTTATATTCTTACATTCAAACAGATATAATTACAATAATAGGTACTTAATTGATTGTTAAATGATATAAATTATATTGAAGTAAATTGATGTAAGAATATTAATTGCCTTAATTTAGAATTGTTCTCGGCATATTTATTGCATGGGTAGGATTGGCAACGTTAACAGAAATATTAATGAGACTTCATATTATTCCTTTGAAGGCGAGTAAAGGTAAGTCTTTAAGATTATAAAAACATACATTCTCATTCTTAATTAAATATGTTAAAAGTATCTATTATTATTCTAACATTAAGAAAAATGATCTTGAATGCTTTTATTTTCAAATATATTCCTGAATAGTTCATAATACAGTAGAACCTCGAAAACTCTGCCTAATGTGGACCGAAGAGTGGCCGAGTTTGTGAAAATGCCGGGATATCGGGAATAAGGTTAAAAAAATAAGTACGTGTGTTTCCTCAGAAAATACTGTACTGTACTTATATGTATTGTTTACTTGAGAATACAACAGAGAATAAACTGCCCAAATACCCTTAAACAAAGGAAAATATGTCCTTTATGAAGGCATAGAGCCTTTACTACATGAAAATGAAAATTAATGAATACGCTGTACAGTAATTTACCTGATATGACAGACCTCAGAAAAATAATTTATGAGGCATAAAGCTGTCTATAATAAAAATTAATTTACTAAGGATTTTTTTGCCCTGCCAGGGTGTGGCCGAGTTATCCGGAGTGCCGGGTTATCGAGAGCAGAGTTTTCGAGGTTCACCTGTAACAATAATTCTAAAATAAATATATTTTTATCAGTTAACTGTACCTAAATATGAATTTATTAATGTTTGTTATTTTAGGTAGATTTTTTGAGTATATTCTCGTTGCTTCTCCTTTCAAATCTCTACATAAATTATATTCGACGANTCGGCAAATTTCAAATGTCCGCTAGTGATGTGGCGCTACATTATTTGGCTATGTCTTGGCTACTTTAATATTATTTTTACGTGTTTTAGCTGGCAACACTCATTCGACCATGAAAGGGAGCCAGTATTTAAACGAGACTTAATTTTCTAATTTTTAACGATACAATAGCGACGATTATTATTTTAAAAATTTTTGTTAGGCTTAACATCGATGAAAATTCAACGCGAAGTAGGTTAATAGCGATATACTAATATACTAATTACATGGGATATAATAATATACTACACTAATAATGGATTTTTTCATACTTTTCGGTTATTTGACTTTTCAATTATCCGACCAACCCCAGTCTCCAATTGGGTCGGATAATCGAGGCTCTACTGTATCGTAAAATGTTTCCAATGGGTCCTTTCGAGGAAAATTTGGGCTAAAAAAAGTGCGCCGAACTTTTATATTTTATGTGCATAGCCATTTGACTTCAATACGCTTTATTACTATAAATTTATGTAATTATTATGCATACCGGTATATAAAAAGCTTTAAACTCGTAAAATAGTTTATTAAATAACTTTTTATCATACAATAATGCAACATAGGTACAAATATAATAATTTTTATTTAGTTGATTATTATATTAAAGTACTTCAATATAATAACCGCGATGTTAAAAGTTTTACGTAGTGAAATAACAAAATAACATAAAAANTGTGATTTACAGATTTTTCTTGCATTGTGAGGGTTGTTGGAAGATTGGAAGATTTCCTCAGTCTCTTTAACGTCATTAACGATGTACTTTGTCTTAAATCTTTGGTAGTCGTCATTTCCGTTCTTCCCAGTCGAATTTAAATGTACAAATTAGTTTCAAACACGTTTAAAAATTCATTTATTTTCGGTTGATTTTTAGCACCACAGTTAGGATTTCGCGTATGCGCTATTTTTCGGGCAGAGATTAACCGCATATATCGAAGGTTTTCTGTATTCTGTATGCACGGAAAAATATAATTGTTTTCTGTTTCGATTTGTTTTTTTCAAAACATGATTTACATAAAGATAAGTTTACTTAATTGTATGTATTTACTATTTCCAGTGATTGATTCTTTCGGAAAGTTACCGNTAAATATATTTTAACAGTCAACTTCACCTAAATAATAATTTATTAATGTTTGTTATTTATAGGTAAATTTTTTGAGTATATTCTCAAAGCTTCACCTTTCAAATCTCTACATAAATTATATTCGACGAATTTCGATGAAAGTACAAAATCGATGTGCGGTGTAAAATTTCTTCTAATAAATATTGTGGTGTTGGGACATATATGCCTGATTGTATTGTTTTTCCGCACAGTAGGAGGTATATTTTCTTTTACTGTAAGATATAATATTTAATATTTATAAAGCTTTTTGCCACAGTGTATGCAAAAGGCTTGCCACAATAACACGATTTTAATTGTTCTATTGTTCAATTCATTTATTATTATAGTTAATATGGAAAATGTAATTATGTTATCACTTTCAACTACGTTTTTGAAAGATAGTGTATCGTATTATGAAATGAAAAATTTCTAGTTTAATCCTGTTTTTTATTGTGTTACGAACATGCGATGATAAATATTTATAGATTTTCGAGAAAGGTTTATTTTTATCAAATTGCAAAATTCACACGGATGAAGCCGCGACTGCAGCTAGTTAATATGTATTATATTCCAATTAATAGCACTCATATTTCATACAAAAGATTTTTTATATTTATCCACTAGCTGTTACCCGCGACTTCGCCCGCAGAGGTTTTGCGAGCAAACCCCATTTATATTCAGTATTTTAACAACTATAGTAATTGTTATATAACACCTACCGCCGAGAATGATGAAAATTGCTGAAAATCAAACAAACTATTTTCAATTTGATCAATTTTCTGGAACGTTTACAATCGTTTTATAATCGAACCAATATGCAATAACAAATTCGAATCTAAAAAGGTTCGAACATTTGGTTAAAAAATCGAAATATGTGAAAATATTTATAACAATGTCTGAAAGGTTATTAATTTAATACACTTAAGTACTTAATGAAGACTAAACGTAACAAAAAATCGCATGTAAAATAGTACAGTAGAAGCCGTTTTTACGATCAAGCCTTAATGCTCTCCCTCTTCCCTACGCGGGGGAATTTAGAAAAATCCCTTCTTAATGTTCGTTTCCATGACGTACCCTAACTGTGTACCAAATTTTACCTCTTTAGGTTAAGCGGTTCGCTCTGAGCGATGATGATTCAGTCAGTGAGTCAATCATTCAGTCAGTCAGTCAGTCAGGACAAGCAATTTTATATATATAGATTATTAAAAAAATAACAATAATTATATTTTACAGATAAATATACCAATATCTTCAAGCTTCTGAATCTTCTTTTATTCGAAATTATTCTCCAAGGCGTCACTATGATAGAGGCATTCTTCTTCTACAGGTATGATCATGTGTATTTTTATGTTACATATAAATACAATTTTCGAAGGATATTTACTTTTCAAATTATAATACTAATAGTAACATTTATAGATTTTGGAAAAAAACTTTTGTGTTTAAAAATAATACCGAATAATATTTTTTGGCTAGCGGGTTTATGGTAATGTATCTGAGACAAAAAGCTGGAAGAAACTCAGCGAAATACTATATCATGTTTTTAGTCAAGCGAATTATCAGGTAAAATATTTAACTCTTACTGTCACTGCTTCGTGTATTATATTTTGTTCGTCTTGCAGATATACACTTCCGATATTCTTCGTTTTGGGCTTTGCAATTCTTCTGCCTNCTCTTCCCCCAGGTGGGGACATTTCGAAAAATCGCTTCTTAGTGTGCGTTTTCGTGACGTACCCTAACTGTGTACCAAATTTCAGCTTTCAACTCCTAACCGTTTGGGCTCTGCACTTATTATTATTATTATCAACCCGTCTCGATTATATTATAGATTAATAAAACTGATATTTCATACATAACATTTTTTTTATATTTATCCATTTTTAAAAGTATAACAATAATTATATTTTACAGATAAATATTCTAATATCTTCAAGCACGTGGATCTTCTTTTATTCGAAATTATTCTCCAAGGCGTCACTATGATAGAAGCATTTTTCTTCTACAGGTAAGGTCATTAAAATTTTAATGTTACACATAAATTCAATTTTCGAAGAATATTTACATTCGCTATCATAATAATAATATTAACACATAGATTTTTGGCAAAAATATTTTTGTGTTTAAAATTAATAAGGAATAATATTTTTTTGGCTAGCGGGTTTATGGTAATGTATCTGAGACAAAAAACTGGACGAAACTCTGCGAAATACTATATCATGTTTTTAGTCAAGCGAATTATCAGGTAAAATATTTAACTCTTACTGTCACTGCTTCGTGTGTTATATTTTGTTCGTGTTGCAGATATACACTTCCGATATTCTTCGTTTTGGGCTTCGCAATTCTTCTGCCTCTTCTTGGAGAAGGTCCTCATTGGCATAATATTATTATTCAGGAAAAACACATGGAAAATGAATGGTGGAAATATATCAGCCATATTCATATTTACGAAAACGATGGATCCATGGTAAATGCATAAAAGTTAAAAATCAGTTTTTGATTTAGGTTTCGGACATTATGTATTATTAAGTGAAATTATTAAAATTTGCATTCATTCAAGTTGTTTTGAACAAACCAATGTATTAGATTTATGCTATTTATCGTTAAGCCAGAAATGTTTTTAATTTATAATATCACCTTAGGAAATCTGAAGGGTTCGTCAACTTTTCTTCACTTTAAACTTTTATATAACTATGTTTTGTTTAACGTTAAGTAATATATTCAATTTTTAAAAGTTTCTTTATAAATAGAAACACCTCTTACAACATCATCTTAACAAATTAAATAATATTATAATTTTTCGATATTTCTAGTGTATTTCTAGTGGAGATTGCTGTTTATTTTGAAATTCCCGTGTCTTACAAGTTAATTACATGTTAATGAAATTCGCACTGTTTACACGTCATAGAAAACAAATCGAATAGTTATATTATGTAAAAAGAAAGCAGTACTATTGAACCATCAAGACCGATGGTTAGTTTAATGGCTAGATAGGGATTTGTTCGGAGCTATTCTCTCGTTATTGCTTTAATCAAAGGATTTATCGGTTTATTAATAATTATATTAAACTGTAATGTGCAGAAAAATAAATTACATGTAAAATCTATTTTCTCTCATTATTTTTTATAAGTAAACCTAAGAACGTTTAAATAAGAAATTTTATTAACGGAAAATTTAAATTTATAAACAGTGATAAAATTTAGTGGCGACAGTAATAGGAAAAAATATTCTTAATAAATGTGGTTTATAGTATAAAACGTAAACTTTTGTTATTTCTGCAAGTCTATAAATGGACTTTGGATATTACTTGTGTTTGTGTGTATGATAAATTTATAAATAATTCGAATAAAAATATTTGTAGTATTATTACTTTTTAATTCGTGTACTTTATAAACAACTTTTAGGTGTTTTTCAACGTATTATGGTTCCTCGGTGTGTTACTGCAACTTTCCATCTTAATGTCACTGTTATTATATATTGTTGACAGGTAAGAATTTGATAATTTATACGAAAAATGTATTTATATTTTTGTAATATGATTGCCTGATATAATGCTAAATCGATTAGATAAGCTTTAGTGAAGTGTTTCAACTATTTGGCAGTGTTTTTTCCATATGTGTTGATCTCTAATGGTCGGAAACGAAAGGTCATATATGTCCGTGATACTAAGGTCGCCTAGGTTCTTGAATCGCATTTGTACAGACTTACAAAATGTACTTGTTTACTAAAATTTATAAAGTGTAATAAGTCCTACTAATAGACAAGTCCTAGTTGATATTTTAGGCTTAAATTGTATTTGTTTACTATTTGCAAACACGACTCAAACCGAAAATTACTCAAATGATAGAAATAACAGTTGTATAATAGAACTGGCAAGAGCTTCTCCTCTTTTAAGTTTGGGCATTGTATAAAATATAATGCAAATCAACTTTTTATTAACAAATACACTAAGTACAATTTACACAGTTTTTACACTTTATTTTCGATTTATATTCAGTCACTGTATCGCTTTGACTACTTACACTTCACTGTTTGTTTTTATTCACTCACTGCACTACTTCGGAATTTTAATTTTTTTTTCGGTTTTTCCCTTCGTCACTGATAAGAAACTGACGTTCGAACCCACGACGGATCTTGCTTTATATACCCCCACCAATGGGTAGTCCCACCCATAGAAAAGCGGCTTCGAATGGTCCACGATGTTCCGAAACATTCCACAAAATTTGAGTGTTCTGGAATATTCCACAATGATCTGGGATGTTCCCGAACGTTCTAGAACATCTCGGAACACACCGGAATGTTGAGGAATGTTCTCGAATACTTTCGAATGTTCTGGATTGTTCTAGAAATTTCTAGAAAGCGAAACTTCCAACCCTTATATCTTCAACAACACACCCTTCCGGTAAAAACGGGAACATTCTTAATAGAGGGCTACCACACCATATAACTCCCTTTATCGTACCGAAACTCGTTTTTGAGTTTTAGCGGCACGCACATTGTACACTTACCTTTATAATATATATTGATGATTTCAGTCCAGTAGCGTGCCGTTTATGGAAGCGGTGGAAGCGCCGCTTACCTTGTATTTTCTAAAATATAAATACATATCCTGCGATTATTTTCATTTCTAAAATACTTCCAATTGCTTAAAATTAATATTTTATTATAACCGCATTATGTATTTTATTATAAATTTCTAAACACGTGAAAAAGAACAAGACCGCTATTGTATATTGGAATGTAAATTCGTGTATGCATATTCCCAAAGCACCATATTGTCGAATACTGGATAGCTTCCAAGGCGAAAATATTGCAATGGTGTAAAACATCCATATTATAGGCTTTGGCCCATTCGCTTTACGCAGCACCAATCTCTGGAGAAGCGTTTTATGTGGTGGATGCTACAAAAATATCGTATTACACCTCCAATAATTCTATCCCTTAGCTACTAGTAGGTAGCAATTGAATAAATGAATTGTTTTAAGATTTATAAGTATTTAATGTGATATTTATGTAGGCTTCTTCACAAAGCTATATTTAATTTTAATTTTTTTAATTACAGTGTAATTATATTAGCAAATTTTCAGACAAAATCTGTAAAATTTGTATCACGTTTAAATTTTAAATAATATGAAAAGCAATTTTCCGTAGAGAATTTTATTTCAGTAAACTTTATTGATTTTTCGAATTATTTTAATTGCGTCATGAATTGCGATATTTATATTCGTGTCCAGATTATATTGGCGAGTCACTCTTAAACATAAAAAAAATATTATAATTAATGACGATGTGTACAAAAATGTACTAAAAGAATTATATGATTTAATAGAAAAGTTGCGGCCAACATTTTCAACGCGAAAACGCGTACGTCGGACGTTCAGCGCCGCCTTCCTGTAAGACTAGAAGTTTGACAATGGCGTTTGAAACGTCAGTGTAATCATGCTCGATGTTCGAACAAAGGACTATTAAATTAATAATAACTGCTAGAAGTAGTATAATAATGGGTATTCTGCCCCAAAAATATAAGATCTTAAAAATTAAATGAATTTAATCAAATCAATAGTAAATTCACAAATTCAATAGTAAAAATTAACTGAATTTAAACAATAAAACACTGTTGAAATCTCGTTGATTTATTACAAATTAGTAAAATTCGTTAAATTTAATCAAAATCAATAGTAAAATTTGCTAAATTTAATAAAAAAAATTAGCACCAATGAAATCTAGTCATTCTTACTTTTATTTATTTAAAACCAGTTAAAGAAAAGAAAATATAAAAAAGTCAAACAAACTCAATAATATGAGCTTTATACTTATTTCCACAATCTCTCATACCCCTGTATACAAATTTAAAATTACTCATCTCCTGTAAATCTTCATCCCTTAATTTTTTTATTGAATCGATCTGGAAGAAAAACTTGGAATTCTTTATCTCTAAGAACTACTAATTTTTTATCACCAAAGCGAGTGGATATTGTTTTAATATAATCAATTGGATATTTGTAATCAATTTCCAACTCGTTTAATTTTTTTGTTGGAATATTTTGAAGTTTCCAATATTGTTTAGTTTCTTCTTTGTCTCCATTTATATAGGAAAATAATTAATCAGTATAATTTATAAATATTGAAATAGTATATTTTAGAATTTTTTGTAAGAAATTCTCAACATCATCCGCTTTCTCATGGGATGGATATTTTTCTATAGTTTTAACTGTGATTATATCTCTTATATTGAAAGGAAGAGTTTCATTTATAACTATATAAGTTTCTTTTTTTTTGTTTTTTAAAAGAAAATGCTAATTTCCATTGATAAATATACGCACAGATAAACAAGATATTGCTAAATTACATGTAAAATAAATCTTACCATTATCTATCCATTAGATTCTAACACATATTTTCCATCATAATTTTTATATCACTATCATCAGTAGAAAGATCGCCTCAGGTTAAATAAAATTCTACATCTTCAGCTGGTTTAGGTAAATACAGAAAACCTCTTAAGATAAATGAATGGTTAATTTTGAAATAATTTTCGAGATACGATTTTGAAGCTGCACCGTGTAATTAATTGGATTTTTTAAATTATTATTTTTTTATTATTAGCATCAAACACATCCTCTTCATTTTTGGTTAAAGCATTATTCACAAAATATCTTTTATTTACAACATTTTTGTCTTCCACTGGATCATCGACATTTCCTATTCTTTTATTTTTTGCATTGAAAGCACCATTACGAGACATCTACTATCTAATGTTAGAAGTTTTTACTCGTTTCTGTTATGAAATTATTAATGTTTAAATTTAATTCATTAATATTTTTTCTAAATTAGTTTTATCTGTTATGTGATCTTCTTCTAATATTTTTAATTTATTAGCATTTTCTTTAGCAAAAGTTTGAAAATCATTATTTAATTCATTGATTATTTTTTATTTATTATCAATATATTCCTTGGTTGCAGCATCGTTTTTATCTATTGGATGTTCGCAGTATTTTAAGATCTTATTTTGCATATCATAATTTCCATCATAAGTTAATTTGAAACCATTACCTGGAGCACCAGAAGGACCTTCTTTTACTTCATCGTAATAATGACCAAAAGGAAACCATTCCATTTAATTACTTCAAAGTTTTAAAAGTTTCAAAAGTCCTGTTATACATATTCATAATTCCTTTTCTTTTTTTAACTAAACGGAAATAAAATCTATACAGTTTAGCAGGTGTTTCTCTCAATTGCCAAAAGAATTCAACTTTCAAATTATAAGAGGGATGATAAGAAACATCGAAATGAATTATTGGATACAGTCTCCTATAGTTTATATAACTTACTAAACAACCAGATTTTGTGTTATTGGTATTTAATCTTGCCGCTAAGAAATCACAATAATATCTCGAATAATCTAATTCTTCAAGTTTAAAGCTAACATTATAATATTCTGTTGGATATTTATCATTATTAATTCTTAACCAACATCTCATCATATCTAAGTTATTCAATATCATATTATTCTGGTTCTGATATTTTAACTTTATAATTCGGATTGACAACGTCGGTATAGATCATATCATTATTTCAATTTCTCCAGAACACAAATCTCACATTAATGTTTGATATTATTTTCCTAAAGTCATTGAAAAATCCAAACATTTGTTTAATTGGTATCCACAGTTTGATCTTGTTACTGTTTTATTTAATATCCATCTTTTTGTAAATCCTTCTTTATAATTTGCATTTTTCTTTAATCTTTTTAAAAAGGTTTCCATTTTTTTCTTTAGTACCAAGAGATTGATTATCGGGTCCATGAAATATCAAAATATGCTTATCTGGCGATTACGAGGTGTCAATGAAAAACAACATATTAGTTGCTTCAGAAGTAGAATAATCTTTTGTAAAGTTTATAAGACCGTTAATGTGATGAACTAATGAGGGTAATTCAATTTCTTCAATTAGTGTCTTACCAATGTGTAATTCAGATCTCGAGAATAAATTTCCAGTATTTACCAAGGTTACGTTATCACTTCCAATCGAAGAACCATCCTGTTTCTTAATTTTTAGTTCTGGACAGATATAACCACTAGAATATAAATTAATATCATTTATATCTTTAATATTAAATTCATATTTCGCAGATTCCTTTTCATTGACAGTAACTTTGTCTTCTCTATGCTGTTTGTACTCAAAACTTTCGATTTCATTGTTGTAATAATTAGGAAGTGTTAAATCCCAAATATTTTCCATTTATTAGTATAAAAATTTCTTGAATCCTGTTACATATAAACTTTGCTTATTTATAATATTTCTTACTGTGTTTTCTACAGTTGGAGATTTTTTAGATAAAATACTCTCTAGTTTATTTTTAACAAACCGCTTCGTCTTATCCTCAACCACAGATTTGGCCTGACTGCCCATTATTTTTAATAACTTCTTACCAGCCGTTTTAATTGCATCAATAAATATATTTCCACTATAATATTTTTTATTTCGAAGTAACAGTGTATGTTTATTATAATTCATTTATTTAGTCTAAAATTAAACGAAAAACAACTGTCTGTTTATTAAGATCAAATAAATTATCATCCTGATCAGTTATCCACATTCTAATTCTATAAATATAATGATTTCTATTAATGTCTGCAAATATGGGATTAATCTCTTCAATTTTTATCAAATTTCCAGGTGGATGAGACGGTGTAAAAGAATAAAGAATATCACTCGTGAAATCGTTGTACACTACTCCACTGATTACATCGCAATGAATATGAATATCATCGATTCCTTTTGAAATACTTGCAATGTATTTTCATTTCTGTTCTTCATCTTCATATATCTTTGTTTCGAAATCTAATATCTCGTGGAGTTTACCTTTACTCAGATCAATTTTATATCCAGGTTCTAAATAAATTATAAATCTCGTTGTTGCAAAATGAATTCCAAACTTTATAGGAGGTATTCCAAAGAATTTTATTAAAAAGTTATTTCGTTCTCGAAGAGTGTAATTTCCATTTTCTACCGTTACTTCATTCCATTTTGTTTTATCAAAATATCTAAAGGTATCGTTATTAAATTTTTCATCGATATTATGCCAAGAAACCCACATAGACATTAATTTCAGAGCTAATTTTGAATTATTTACTGGTATTGGAGTTTTAAACTCGATTGTAAAGACTTCTGATTTATCAGCATTTTTCGAATCTAAGACTATTAGTTTCATTTATATAAAACAAAATACTCATTTAACTCGCTAGGTTCTTGCGTAAATGAGTATAAAACTTCAATGGGAGATTTTCCTTTATTTATTTCTACAATGTATTTCATACAATAGTAACCACATCTAACAGACGTAGTATTCTGAAGAAAAATAGAGTTATATCTTATTTCTTTTTTAGATGTTTTTAAATGTTATATGATTTCTTTTGGAATTATCTCTCTTTTCATTGTTACATTTTTTAACTTATATTCTCCAAAAGGATCGAAGAATTCAACGAAGGGATATTTAGGATCATTATAATAACAATCCCAGTGTGTACCATCTCCAGTTTAAATATCTAAATTAATTATACCGTTTTTAAATTTTGTAATTGTTTTCGGTAGTAGTTCAACCGTAAACACACTTCTAAAACCTTTTTCGTTTTTTAAATATATTTAACTTTCATGAGGATATTATAATAAAACCAGAAATAAAGAGAGAAGCAAATAAAATGTGATATCTGTAATCATTACTATAAACCAACCTATAAGAATCTTCACATAAAAAAAAAGAACATAAGAATGCCTTATACAATAGTGAAGCTATCCAAAAGATTGAGACAGCATTCGAATCTAGATTAAAAACGTATTCAATTAGGAACGTGACTAATCATATCATACTAAGAGAATTTTTAGAAGATGTGAGAGAGATAGTTATTAGAAAGATAGCAGAGATAGTGAAAGAAATGGACTTGAAAGTAAATTTCGAATTTTTCTGTGAGTATCAAAGAGAAAATGAGAACAAGGGTTTTTTTATTTAAAACACAGAATTCAGTTAATTTTTACTATTGACTTTGTGAATTTACTATTGATTTGATTAAATTCATTTAATTTTTAAGATCTTAAATTTTTGGAGCAGAATACCCATTTTTATATCACTGCTAGAGCAGCAATACATTTTAAGGCCAATATTGTTTGTGCTATTGCCGTTTCGTTATCTACTCTAATTAGCTCTTAAGCCTGGACTAGGTCAAATTTCAAAAACTCGTAGCCTTGCAGATGAAGTTTAAACTAAGGCTTATAATTCGCATGGGATAATAAACTAATCGCACGTCTTTATTCGAAATATTTTTGTAATTCTCAGAGATCCTAACTGCTCCTTTCCTGTTTAAAATTGGCACGATAAAGAGATCCCACTCAGGATCAGCTATGTGTATCAGGAAAATTTTTGAGCGGTTCATCTCTATAACTCGACACGAAGCTCCAGGCTAATACTCAAAGGAACATGTTGAGGTACAAACGATGCGGGTGAAAAATTGTAATATTGGTTTCCGTTAAGTGTATCTAACTCTGCCTTTTAAACATGTATTGAATTTATTACAAAATTAAATGCATAGAAATGTCACAAAAATGTCTTCTTTTAAATCTTAACGTCCCTTTCACATTTCGGCAATTGTTTTTACGGTGCAGTCGACGTTCCTTTTTGACGACGTATGAAATTATTTCATAATTGTCTGAAATAGATTCTTATTGACGCGATAGATTTCAGAGAATGTAATCCCCAAAGCCGCTTACATTTTTGAGTTTTCGGTTCTTAATTCGTGTAATTTTAGGTTTTGGTAATACTCGAAAAGTGAAGTTTATCCAATTCGAGTTGCGAAATTTCGCAGCTTCCAAACACAGTACCAAACTGTCTGTAAAAAACCGCAGATAAATTAGGCTCAGCCAGTAAACACATTATACACTTCATTGGAATTTTAAATGAAACCAAAGTGAATTTAAAACTTTAAAAATTTGTCAAGATGGCATTAGATAATACATTATTTTTTTAGTATTTATAAAAATCTTAAATACAGTCGAGTCTGCATAATTCGACACTCCAAGAGAAAGTAAAAATGTGTCAAGTTATCCAATATGACGACAGAAACGGAGTTGAAAAAACCACAAAACTACAATTAGGTTAATACAGCAGTGCTTTATACAGTCTTTGAGCTCTAATCTAGATTAGCCTTGCCTGGTTTCGGGCCATGCGATAATAGCAATTTTTCGCGAAAGCTCGCTACTTGCTTGATAGTTGGGCTAGGGGACTTGTCTCCCATCTATTATGGGTGCCGTATAAGAGTAGTCGTACCGGATGCTTGATCAGTTTTACCGGTTGAGGCGCTCAATAATCTTTATCCGACTTAATACAGTATTTGACCATCCATCACTGGCACTAAAGTTGATTTCTATTCCAAGTTCTTCGACGATTTCCATCGCTTTTTTTCGGTACCGGCCCCGATATAGGAAGATTCGATAAACGAATTTGCTTCAGCTAACGTACCAGAGCATATTCCACATTTTCTCACGGCGACTTTCTCTGGCGTTATCGAGACAGTCGTGTCGATGGCCCAAACATTTCTTAATTTCCTCTTTTTCTTCAGAATTCCCATCAATGTTGTGTTTGAAAGGTTTCCTTGTTTTGAAAATTCGGCTTGAGAACATTTATTACATTCAAATTCACATACAAGTTCGTTTATTTCTAACAGAAATATAAAACACGTGCTACAGATAACGCGTGAATGAAAAGTGAAAAATGCAAAATCGTATTTTGCTGTGTTGTTGAAATGGATTGCACATTTTTGTTTATGTTATTATTTTTTGTACAAAAATACATTAAATGTTAAGGCATTTTTATTCATATGTATATATTAACAAATAAGTCGACTTCCCTCCTAAAAAACCGAGTTTACACCACACAGCTTACAGAGTCGTTTTTTTCAGGAAGAGAGTCGACTTATCAGATGTCTAAACGAGTGTGGTACAGAAAACATATGTCGATTTATTCTGTGGTGACGAGTTAATCGATGTCGGGTAAATTAGAGTTTTTTAATATTAATGTTTATGTAAGTGGGCCAAGACCACACAAAACTGACTACTTAACAGTCGGTGTCTATTAATACCAATTACGACTTACGCGGACTCGAATGTATTATTATTTAACGGGTGCTTGATATTTTGAATTCCTTTGCTATGTATTCAATATTATTTTGCAGATGGCCCAGATTTGGAAGACTCGTCATAATTGTATTAATGTTAACAGGGATTATCATGTATATAGTTGATGTAGTTTCGAACAGATATTACGTGATATTTGGAATACCTGCTGCTTCCGAGTATAAACTTTCAACGTTTTTATTTTTTGATAATGGATGGTTATTACTAAAAGAAACTAATTTACATTTTCGTTTATTATCGTAGGGAAACCTATAAATATTTTGCTGATAATTATTGTAAACCATATTATTCTCATCTTGGTATTTATTGTTTTGGTGCTTTAATTGGAGATATATTAAGGAATAAGAAAAAGGTCACATTTGGAAAGGTATACTAATATTATTCATATTTTATATTTATTATTATTATATATAGGTATACATATATATACGAATTATTATTTATTTTTACATGGTCATAATTCCGGCTGCAATTTTAATCATATTTTTAATGTTTTTAATGTATTTAATTTAAAGAATGTAATATTCAACGGATGTTTGTTATTTTGAGTACCCTCAGTTTAGTAGTGGTTGGACCTCGTACATCGTACATTCTCTTTAACAATAGATTTTTCTTGCCATCTTTCTCACTCTTTTCGAGAAAAAAGTTATGAATTGAAATAACCTGACGTCCAGTTTATATCAGAAGTTCTCATATAGTTAATCAGAGCCTACTGCTTTTTCATATTGCAGCCAATAACTAAACTTTTTCGAACTCAAAGATTAATGGGAAAAAATCTCGATTTTGTATTAAAGATTTTCGAGTTAACGAATTTAATATCTAATTTCCTTAAATTATTTCGATTCGTTAAATTTTTAGTTATCGAGCCTTTTTTAAGAATATGCTCACAGGACGATTAATCTTTAATCCTGGATGACACTGTAGCCGTTGTTGTTTTTCAAGTGTCAAAAAATACGGAAAAAAAGAAAAAATAAAAGAAAATAACAATGGAACAAATTAGAAAATTGTATTCAGTTTATGTATTTGTCGATTACGGGCACCCTACTTTCTCCATTCGGTAACACAGTTTATCAATAAAAAAATGAGGACAAGAGGCGTTATGGGTACTGTTGTTTTCAATGGAGAGCTATAGTTTTTATTTATCTTAATCTTCTAGGGCGATTTTGTTCAACTTCTTCAAGCTTAATAATTCCCCTGCTTTTTGTTGAATCTTTATAAAATTTCGCAATGTCGTTTCATTGTTATGGAGATTAATGGTGGTAAAGTCAAGAGGGAGTAAAGGGAGTCGGGAGTATCACGCGTTGGGCTGAACCTAACGAAGAGTTTACTTGTTATTAGAATTTACAATTTTTTTTATAAAACTATCTCTGTCATTAAAATTAAACTTTTTGCTATTTTATAATACAGTTGTTAAAAATATTAAAAGTATCATAACAGATGGCACCTCCTAATGTTGCCGGGAAAGTTTAGCAACTCGTTGCTGATATTTAAAATTTAATTTTGCAATTTTAAAATCTTCATTTACGTTTTTATTGAAGACGATAAAACTGATTTTCTGGAAACGTTACAAAAAATGAATAATATTCGTAGTTTCTTAGGATTTGGAATTTTTATATCTGTATGATTAGTATATTTAAAATTTTTAATTAAATAAGTTATAATTATTTCTTATATTCAAATTAATATTTAATATTATTAATAAAAATTAACATCAAAAGTAATATATTAAGTAGAATAAATACTGCGTTTACTGAGTGTCAAATTTCTTCAAAAAAATTTAAAAGAAAATTAGAAAGAACTGCAAAATGTTTCAAAACTCGTTTAACGCAAAACCACTAATACATAATATGCAATATACATATAATTAAATAATCAATTTTACAATTACTTTAACAATGTAAGAATTGTTTTTAAATGATAGCAACATTTAATGTACAGTACACTACTTGTGTAATTGCGAGGATTTTGTAGTTACCAGATATATACTGTATCTCATTTGTAGGATAATTCTATAACCTGTGTAGTCTGCTTTTGCCTTTAAAACTTCTGTAATGCGATCGTGCATAAAAATACTGTAATAACTTTCCCGCAATCGTGCGATGTTATATTGTTTTACTCATCCTACAACGTCCCATAATTAACGAATGCTTTCGGGCACGAAAACACAGTGAGCTAAATGACTTTTAAGAAGGGTATTACTAGATGCATTCAATTTGTTGAGGTAGGGGCGACTGATAACGCCAGCCTGCAAATTAATATTGTGATCCCGAAAACATGCCGTTACCCTCACAGATATACGTTTTGAGTCATTATCTCAATGCGATAATACTCAACAGATTGCAACGACAGCATCTAACTTTTAAGTGTAAATTATACTATTCATATTATTAGGTACAGAACAGTTTTCCGGGCTAAAATAGCATTAACACAAAGGATCATGACGACATCCGTACCAAATTTCAATATTATTTGTAGTTATAGATTAATTTAGGACTTCATCTATATTGTCTACACTGATTTTGTCCATCAGGGATAAATCCTATTATGTTTGGTGTTATCTGACGATACACTCCTCTTCCAAACTTCAAAGTGAAGTCTTTGTAGCGTTTTGTAAAGCCAAGATGATTCGGTTTATGTCATTGGATAAGTTTAGACATTTTAGTGTTAATTTTAGTTCTCAAGGCTTCTGTGTGTAGTTGTAGTATTCATGTCTACTCTTATGTCATGTTTCAATTCTTTCTTCATCTGTAAAGACAAGTCGCAATGTCCATTGTTATCAACCGTACACAGTAACTTTCTATTTAATACTCAATACCTTCTTAAATTTCGCTAATATGGTAGGTCACTACTTTTTTAGAACACCAACTTCTGGTGCTGATTTTTCAATAGAAAATCTTTTCTTTAATTTTGATGGTCACGGTTTAGTCCAAATATACGACGTTTCATGACTCAGTGTTAAACGAAAAGCTCTCAGTTATCCTCTAAAGTTTTCGAAGATAAATGACTGGGAGTATTCATTATCTTACGACATATTATTTAACAATGCCATTGTTTTCGATACGTTTAATATTTGTGTCCGTACAATAGTTTTTTTCATGTAAACAAACAGGTTTATTCACTTTTTTTAAATAAAATGTTATTATTTTGGCATTTAGAACTCGAAAGTTTATTGTTGTAGCTTAATCTATCGACATTTTTTTAAATTTATCGCTTAAGACTGAAATAATGAGTGAGGGCAAGCTAAAAACCTTTCACCTTAGTTTATCATCTGCAGTCTTAGTAATTTGATAAAATTCTAAATTATGTTTGCGTTTATCAGCAGTAGAATGAAGGGAGGAACTTTGACCATTACAGTAATTTCGATGAGTACACATCTAAAAACTTGGTAGCTCATATAACACGTGTTCTTTGTTGCTTGTTTTTTCCTCTTTTCCGGGATAGTTGGGTCATCGGTTTTGTGGTGATCTGTATTTAGAGTCACTTTTAATACTCGAAAAAGTTTAAACTCTTCTTGCCTTGTCGGCACTAAAAGAGCCTTTTTTTAGCATGACTGTTATGGATTCCGCCAGACCCACAATGGGGCGGCCGGGAGATGAGAGTCAGGGACCGACATATCCGAACTGACCACCGGGTTGGAATCCGGACAGGGGGACCGAATTCCAACTCGGGTACCTCAGAGCAGTAGGCTGCCAGCTCGACCACACGGCCATCTGGCTTTCAAACTTAATTGTTAGAACATAATAAAAGAATTGTTAGACTGATGTACAGATATTTTATGCTTGGTAAACTTTTACGATAAGAAAAGTATATAATTTATTATAAGCTAAGGTACAAACTTATTTATATAATGCTGTAATTTTGACTATTTAAACTACAGTAATTCTTTTCACTGAAACTAATTCAAAGCCAAAATTTTGTTAATAAAAATTACAGCTCTGTTGGCGGCATTTTCAAATTATTATTCTGAACAAAGAATTTTGATGATGTACGTTGCTTGTTTATTTTTGTCGTGACTTATTATGTTAAATTGTGGCGTCTATTAAATTAACACGCCATACACTAATAAACAAAATTAGTTTCTTCTTGTGAATAAAACAATTAAAATCTAGAAACGAGCTGCATAACTTTCCCGGATAATATGAGATTTTATTTAAAAATCACTTTTATATTATTAATCATAATAAATAAAGATTTAATAACAGTGATAGATTTTATGGATTATTCTTTGTATTTAGTTAACTTTATACATTTTTAGAAAAGTGTTATTAGACTTTTTTAAACCGTAGGTAAATAATTTTTCGTAAAAATAACGAACGAAATACAGCGATGTCGCGGTACACGAACTATTCCCAACTCGAAAAATTCGGCATTGCAACACAAATTCTATAGAAAAAATTGCTCGGTAATTTATTGAACGATCTCAGAGAATGGCATTACTTTGAAAAAACGCCACTGTTTAGCTAAATTAACATTAATGCGTAATACAATACTTTTTCTTTCGACTGTTAGTTAAATATTGATTGAAAATAAAATATTTATTTATTTAATTTAATAAACAGTAATAAAAAGGAATGGTATACTTTTATTAAATTTTGGAGCATAACCCTATATTTTGCACATGTCCTGAGTTTCGTATATGACGGATTCGTGTATATGACGTCTTTTCCACGTAATCAATTGCTATACTTACATATTTCCCGTAACGTATAGTAAAATCTTACGAATAGAATTAATCATTGTATAACAATTCATGGCATAGAAGAAAACAGATTGATTTACATTCATTAAATATTTAATATTTAATTAAGTGCCGGCTGCTAATGTGATGTATCGCTGTCCACGGGAGTGTTACTCGTGATGTTAGTAAATATTAAAATTTTCATTTAAGACGTTTTCTCTTTAAATATCTAAACATTTATTTTTAATTCACAGAACGTATCATCACCAAAACTAAAGTTAAACTTTTTACGTAGTCCGTTTATTAAGAATGTTTCGTTTAAATTCTTAGATTACCATTTTACTTTGTTGGACCGGATGCATTGTCTTAATGACATTATCAATTTTTGGAGTGCATAGTTACAAGAAAAATATTATGGCCAACGAAAATATAATCATCGCTTTTCAGTGCATTGCTCCATTTGCTTGGACACTAGGATTAGCTTGGTTGACAGTGGCTTGTGTCACAGGTCACGGAGGTAAGGAAGTTCTCATTATCTAGTGTTTACGGTCGATTTCTTTCACCTAAATATAATTATCAATAAACGGCGTTTACGGCGTTTTTTCTATTTTATTTTGTGTTTAATTTACTATAACTGATAAAAAGCTACATTTTTAATTTCATTAGGCTAATTACGTTTGTGAACTTAGTAAAAATTTTTAGCTGAAGTAAAATACAATTTCTTAAATTATATATCGCCTATTTACTATATTTAAGAAAATAAATACAGTAACTAAATTAATTAGAGTTATTTAAATAATTATTACTTTCATACCGTAAACTACTGTATATTTATATAGCATATTTATATGTAGCTAATCTGTATTATATTACCTGAACAAGTTCACTTTACCGATACAATTCTTTCGAATTTTTCTAGTTAATAAAAAAAATAAGTAAATGTACACAAAACACAGTTTACGATAAAGTGATTATTTTATCTTTTCGAGTGACAAGTAAATAAAACTTTTAAACAAATACGGATTATTTCGGAAAATAAGGAAAATCGGATTATTTTAATCAAAACAGTTTGAAAATTAAACTAAGTACAACTTCCATGCTATTGATTTAATTAAAGTCCAATCGTCACGTTATAAAAATTTTCAATTTTGTTTGTTTATTTTCAGGAACCCTCAATCGTGTGTTATCTCTTCGTATTTTTGTGGTGTTAAACAGTCTGTATGTTTGGATATATCTGCTTCACGGTCTGATTATCTATTATGTTGTTTGCAGTATGAGAAAGGCTACAGGTGTTTTACAGTTTAATATGGTAAAGTGAAAATTTTCATGTTATGAAATACATTTGCATATGACTTTTAATGAAGTACAAGTTGACCTATGCACTTTCATTCCCGTGATAATTTTAGTCATTCTTATGGCTAGGACATACAGGCATCAAAATTTGTAAAAGAGTAATAAATAGGTACACACAGGCAAAGAATATGAACGGTACTTGAAAGTTAAAAATAGACAAATCAGTAGACCCTAATTCTGAAAGCAACGATTATTTGTTTTATCCATATTTATCCATAGAATTTTCGGCATATTTCATTATTTTAAAAGTAACTAAGGAAAGAAACAGATAAAACAATCTTTTTATATTTGATTACACGTATTTCGAGATCGTTTTTGTGACAGACTACAGGTAATTTCTCAAATTAGTGTGACGTTGTTCGTCAACAAAAAGTTCAGAATTCACAATCGGTGTGGTCACCCTTCCGAGAAGTTACAAAGAATGAAAAAAGTGTTGTGCACTTGTTTGAATGGGCTTTTTATATCCTTTTACGAGTTTTCTGGTGGTAATGATTAGTTACTTCATTTACGGCCGAAACATTATTTTGTAGAAATGATAACTTGTCTTTGCATTGCTGTTTAAACGAGAGAAACGAACTCTGAACACTGCCCGATGTGATTGCTGCATGCTTGATTGCACTGATTCTACTTAATGAATATTTATTTTCAGCTGTAATTAATTAATATGCATCAATGTTCTTAATTTAAACAAATTATTTCTTCAATCACCATAACAGTGTATTTCTATTAATAGGACTTATCACACGGGTGTATAAGATTATAGCAACACAATCACACAGATTAAAATTGTTTTATTTACAATTACCTGGACACATACAAATTGCGTTTCGGACTTGTTTGTCCCTCTTCAGCAGGTATTTAACAAACAAATTCTAAATAAATAAAATTCAAACAATAAGCAAACATAATTTACCGACAATATTTAAAAAATTTTTTATGTCTACGATAATAACTTATAAAATTCATACTATTTTGATATTCTTTCTTTCTATTCTACTTTTCCTCCAATAGTTCATTCCAATTACAATTAATATCAATTTTAAAACATTCCTGTATGAAAACCAATAATTGTTTCATTAAACTGTGATATTTTACATTAAACGTTAACATTTTACATATTTGTACATTTAAAACAAATTCTAACATACATTTCCACTTGTTCTTCACTTTCCTTCTCTCTCTATCAGGTGTTAATATGGAAATTATAGCTCAAATTGGCTCTTTCTCCGACAAGACATTGTGTAGATGATCGCTATGCGACCGATGAGCCAGCCGTATCTGAACAGCCTAATCGCGCGCGCGGGAAATAATGTTTTCCGGGAGGACTTTTATGGGGAACTGGCCTTCTAGTCAGTCGTCATTGGCAAGGAGAAAACCCGGAAAACTCCAAGCAGCCAGCCTGTCCGACCGTGGCGCGAACCCACGACGAACCTCCCAGTTTTTAGGGTCGGTCACCACCGCTATGAGTGGCAACGGAGACCACTCGGCCACTGGTGGGGTCTTTATCCTTCTCACTCTCTATCTTTCTCTTTATACGTCAATTTCCTGTTTATGTTTATCATTATTCTCCATGACTGGTGTATTTCTCTTCCGTTGTTGTTAATCATTCTATTGTTTTGTTTGATTATATTAATGTGTTCGTATAATTGTCGTTTATAATTATTTTCTTATTCTCTTTTTTTATTTTAACTGATTTTAATATTATTTCACATCTTGCGGAACACTGCAATTCAACAGGATGTGAAATAATATTATAATCAGTTAAAATGAGAAAAAAAGAAGAAAATAATTAACTTTCAAAAAATAATTTTTTTATATATTTTTGAAAATATTTATTTTGTGTGTACAAAATAAAGAAATAATTTTTAACGATACAATAGCCACGATTATTATTTTTAAAAATTTACGTTAGGCTTAACATCGACGAAAATTCAACGCGAAGCGACACGCAACGGACACTGCAGAATGGCTGTGTGGTCAAGGTGACAGCATACTGTTCTGGAGAGACCTGGTATCTAGAACTAACACATTCCAATTGAAACACATTCTGAAAAATTTCTAGAAATTTTTCAGAATGTGATTCAATTGGATATGTCAGCCGCTTTCCTTCAACACTTGGCTGCACCCTTGTAGGCCTGGCCGAATTCATAATTAGCTTTCTATAAGAGGCGCTCTTAGGGCCAACAAGGCAGAAAGAGTTAATATCAAAAAATATACCAAGAACGTTATTGAGTATTTGTTACAAGACTTCTCAACCATTTCTCACAGATGCAATAACGCATTTTCCATCAACTACCTTTTCTTAAAGCCGTACTGGTCTGTTCTTTATTATACGGTCAAAAATTTTTCACAACAGTACAAAACAAATGGGCCTATCTGATCTCGGATTAATATTTATTAACAACTTTTTATATCCTTACTACCCTTTCCTATTTCCAACAGTTAGCGAATACACCATACATCAAACGCACCTGATATAACTTTCTCATATGAGACCTTAAAACACCTAACTATCTTTGATAACCAAATTTGTTATATTATCGGCCCCGGAGATTTCCTTCTTGTAAAGCCATATAGGCTATGTCAACATCATTGTCAGATATCTCGTCAACACGCCTGATATTACCATAATTATGCACCATTATTCTTGTTTGGCTTTGAGCCATATCACTCGCCTGCTCATTATCATTGGGAAACAGGAAGTATAAGTACTTGGCTACTCAGGTCGAATTTAGTAATTCTGTATTATCACATTTCGTGTTTACCAAGACCTGATTAGACTTAAGCTTTTTTGTTAGAATTTTGTTATGCATACTCAAGGGTTCACCTATAGTTTTGGAATACACATACCTTTGCCAACTTTCTGCCCTAAATACTTTTATCCTACTCTTATATATCTTTCTATAATTTAAGCTCGCACTACTTAAGTACTCACACATTGTATTATCCAAGTACCTTTTATATTTCCTTCTCCTCTTATGCATTTGCCTCTTCAGGCTTTCTAACTCATCGCAACACCACTTAGGAGCTGTGTGTTGCGATGAGCTGTGTGTGCTCCTTTCCTTTTTTAAGAATTGAACTTATTGTATCATTCCGGATACTACACTGTATATGGATGCATTGTACTGGTCTTCCAATACTTCAAAGATTTTCAGACATAAATTTTGAATTAGCTTTTTCCTATATTTTTGCCAATTTGCGCTATTAAAATTAAAATAAATGTACTCTTTGAAGAATCAAGTATGCTACCACCTTATACTCATATATAATCAGTTTATGTTTATTAGTGGTTTCATTAATTAACCAACTTCCAATTATTTATGACGATATCATGCGTAGTAAGGGTGAAATCAATATAAGGGCAACCTCTACTGGATACAAAAGTCGAACCTGCCTGTGGATCATTTATAATTACCAATTTCTACTTAGCTATGGTTCCTAAAAGCTGATTTCCTCTTTTATCGGTAGTCTAACTCCAGAAAATAGCTTTAGCATTAGTATCCATTCTTATAATAATGATCTTGCCAGGCAGCTTCCCCAAGAAACACTTTTCACTCCAGTTTGCTCAAACCGTTATCAATATCAGCACTAGATAAAAAAGTATAAAAAGATAAAAGTTCTCAAAAGTATTTTGACCACGGCCCATTTTGAGATAAAAAAAAAATTTACTGCCCCCTATTTTTTAACTTACCTTTTTACATTACCATCTGTTGCGAATATTAATAACAGTTATTGCAAATATAATGTTAACCATGCATTATTATGTGGATAGGATAGATGGGATGTGACTCATATCCTGTTTCTGAGATCGAAGAATGTTTTAATGAGAAAAATAAAACTCATGTTTAATCATTGAGTTTTCTACTGCCCCCTGAATGCATCTAGCGCCCACAAAGGGGCGTTATCGCCAAGTTTTAGAAAGGATGGTATAAACAAATTACAGACACCTTAATACCATATCTCAGGAGCTGTGCTACGACACATGTTGGGATGACAGGCTTTGTATATCTAGTATCGCGCATTTTTTGTTTTTCACAATAACAGCTGCTCAGGGCTGTGTCTGAGTACAGGTGATGTATAATTTTAACCTTAGTACCAAAGGCAAACACATGTCCTGGAGTTGCATATGACTTTTGAACCTGGACTATATCAACCTCATATTTCGGGGCTATATCGACCTCATGCCTTGCTACCAAAATACTAATGTTTTTTCTTAGACAGATAGACTCCAATCCATATTAAATTGAGCAATTTTAATTTTTTTATTAGCTTTAACTGCCATAATATTAATATATTATAGATTGATATCTCTTTAATATCTTTTTATAAAAGACAATCTTTGTTTTTTAATTTATGTTGATGCGGTTTTCCATTTGCTTGCATATTACACATGCTTTACATGACACCTTTGTTTTACAGTCATTACCTTAATGGTTGGATATACCAGATACATTATAAACCTTCTCTGTTGCTTTACCACATGATCAAACTTTTGACATATGTAGCACAGGATCACTTTATAGTACCTGACTACACAATTTCTATACCCGATATACACTATACCGAATGTAACAACCCTCTTGGACATCATTTGGCTACTAAGTCAGTCAGACTATCCCTCGTACAACCTGTTCTTTAAAGTAACTTAAATTCACTTTTTTATTTTTTCTAAAGCGGCTTCCTCCCCATACAGAGTATCTTCATTTAAGTCACTTACGTGTTCAATCATATCTTCTTTTGACATACTTTTTGATACATCTTTTAAACACACTCATAGCCATTATTGGCTGTTCTACAACCAACTCAATGTACTACAATATATATTATTTAACATTTTATCAAGGTCACATTTAGAAGCTAGGGTCACAATAATCCCTAATTGATCTTACATATGCTACTTATTCTTACTTTAACCTTTTTAAGATATATATATTTTTGAAAATTTTCTTTATTGGA